CGATCAAAAACCAAGCCATTCGGACATTCGATAAGAGACTTATTGATATTCAAAGAGTCGAATAAGTGACATTGATCCCATTTTCCATCCTTCGTTGGAATGTAAAGTTGAAGAAATAATGCATGTGTTTGATTGATAGGAGTATATGTGTCATCATTTGGCCATAGTGATGGTGCAAGACGACATCGATGATCGGGCTCAGCTGCACCGAAAACATAATAAAAAGATGCAAGACCAGCCGAAATTTGTATCAAATTAAGAAAGCAATACTGACGCCACTGGAATCGACCGAGCCTTCCACATTGATGAATGACATTGTCCAAAGTTGCAGTTGTTGAAGGAGTTCCTGGTAATGATTGTGGCGCAGACTCCTCTTGGAAGTTGCATAGGCTATCAACCAAGAGAGCCATTTTGAAAGGGAGTGTACTCTTATCACTGACAAAATATTCTTTATTCATCACGCATCTTTTATCTTTTCATAGTCCATGTTTCAAGATGTCGTAGTCCAAACATTGCATCGAGATGCGTCAACATTGGTAACACATTACAGATACTATAATATTATTACAGCTAATCTTAACAGCAATTTTATTCTTTTCATAAGCTACCAAACAGGAAGACGATAAACAATTTGTTCAGAGATGTGTCGGTGTGTGTGTGGATGTGAGCTTGAATCTGTAGTTCTCAGAGACCAACATCCACACCCTAAATAAATAATAATTCAATAAAATAAACTCAAATTAATTTATTTTTGAGCCCATAAAATATAATGAAAATTATTTTTTATTTTTCAAGAATAGATTAGTTTACCATTGATCACTATCGAAATAAACTAGTTTAGATCATCGACAGCACGAAAGTCTGAGGGTTATATTCATGCACATTAATTTAATATTGTTTTATCTAAATCTTGTTTTTTTGTCATCTCTTGAATCCGAAAGCATGCTTAATAGTTAAAGCACACTTAACAATGTTATTTCTATGATTAGGATTAAGCGAGTGTGGGTGCGGATATACGTGTAGATGTGGGTGTGGAGTGTGGGTGTGGGTGTTGGTCTGCTTTTCACGGACATTCACATCCACATCCTACCCTTATATGATATAAATGCGCTAGAATATTTCATTGCAATGGCTACTAATCAAGGAAAAGAAAACATCAACGTTTGTTTTTTTTTCGTTACTGAACTTAACTTTAGTTGAAAAGCTGCACTTCGAAAATACCATACCAGGAGCCCCAAAGTTTTCTGAAGAAGACTCAGCCCTTTCTGGTTCTGTCACTGAGTGAAATGGATAAATAAGCTAAATAAACAAATCAGCTATCACCTTCCAGCGGCAAAGATATTCCACTGTATATTTTGACATCTACATTTTTGCCTAAAAAAAAACGAAGTTTTTGTATTGAAAATTTAGAAAAAATAGGGTCGAAAAGTGACCTGTCTGACTTGTCTGGCGTATTGGCCTGACCTGCGTCTGTCTCAGGCAGGCATAATCGTCTGTTTGAACTTCTGGTGAACATAATAGAAATATCGGTTGCACTTATGTTGCTAGAGGAGATTATTCAAAAACCTTTGAATGGTTTCAAACAGCCCTTAATATTCAAAAAACGTGTCTTTCATCTACTCATCCAGATTTAACAACAACTTATAATAATATGGGTTATGTGTACGATACTAAAAATGACTATCAAACTGCTCTTGGATACTATGAAAAAGCTCTAGATATTCAACAAAAATCTCTTTCAAATACACATCCTGATCTAGCAGTGACCTATAGAAACATTGGAGGAATATATAGTTCGATGAAAGAGTATTCCAAAGCACTTTCATACTATGAAAAAGCATTAGAAATTGAACAAATTACTCTTTCATCAAGTCATTCAAGACTAGCGATTACATATAGTAACATTGGCGTAGCACACCAATATATGGGAGATTGAAAAATAGCAATGTCTTATTTTTCAAAGGCACTTGAAATTCAAGAAAAATCTCTTTCATCAACTCATCGTGATCTTGCCAATGTCTACAACAATATGGGAGCCGTACAAGATAGCCTAGGAAATTATTCAATGGCATTGTCATTTTATAAAAAAGTTCTTGAAATTCGAGAAAAAGTTCTTCCAGCTGTTCATATCGATTTAGCTATTATTCATCTGAATATTGGCATTACACATTATAGAATGAAAAATTATTCGACAACATTATTACATTTTCAAAAGACATTTGAAAATCAAGAAAAATGTTTTTCACCAACACACATTATGCTAGCTGATATTTGTGATAAAATTGCTATGACGTATTATTCAATGAAAAATCATTCAAATGCACTTTTGCACTATCAAACGTCACTGAATATTCGACAAAAATCTTCACAATCAATCCGTCCAGACACAGCAGTGAATTTTTATAATATAGCAAAAACATTCGAACATCTTAATCAATATCACGAAGCTATAGAATATGCGCAAAAAGCTGTTGATATGGCTCGTCTTCTTTTTGAATGCGATCATTCCGAAGTGAAGGAAAATCAAGAATATCTTGATAAACTTCGTCAAGAACTATAGTTTCTATTTTATAGGATTATTTCAATTTTGAAAGAAGCTTCCTTTCGACTAGTAATTTTTCTTAATAAGGAAAGCCAGAAGAAAAATTCTAACTTGAATGCATTATAGTTCGAGGGTGCGGGTGTGGTTGCATGTGATCCACATTCTGATAAAATTCATCAGTGCATTTGGCAGACTGAAATCAATAAGAAAGGAGGGTGTGGGTGTGGGTGTGGGTGTGGGTGGTGTGTGTGGGTGTGTGTGGGTGTGAGTGGGTGTGGGTGTGGGTGTGGGTATGGGTATGGGTGGGTGTGCGTGTGGGTGTGGATGTGGATGTGTGGTGTGTGGGTGTGTGTGTGTGTAGGTGTGGCCGTGGATGCCCGTCAAAGAAGAATACACTTACAGTGACACCCACACCCACACCCGCAGCAACACCACCCACCCACACCCGCAGCAACACCACCCACCCACACCCACTATCAGGATATCACAGCTGTAACTTTTAATGGACTACCTGAAGATATATTCTAAAACAATGTATTTCTAGAAACCGAAAGTTGCTTGAAAGCAGATTCAGAAATCATAAGTGTATCAGAAAAAATTTCCGAACCCATCTTGAATTTCTGAAAACACCTTACGATTTCAGGATCACCGGAAACTGTTAGATTTCCGAAAACTCGCGTAAGAAAAGTCAGCAACGTATTCTCAGAAATTCTGGTGCTATCTTCACCTTTGAATTTTTGATTGACAGGCATCACAAATGATGAAAGGGTTTAATAAAGATTCAGAATGATTTTTGAGTATATCTGGAAAACCCTTCAGGAACTCTGAGTTTTCGGTTAAAATTTTCAGACACTTATGAAGTTTTATAGAAAACATGAAGAGCATTCGACATTTTTTTTTTT